CATCTTTCTCCCGCAGAGCGGCTGGTAGTTTCGAACCGCTGACCTTAAGGTTCGCAGCCCGATTCGTAACCACTACGCTACCAGAGCTCCTTACTGCATTAGAAAATACTCAAGACAATTACAAAAGCCTACCAAATGGGAGTGGCGCTGTCCGATCAGCACTAGACTACAAATCACAAGGTCTGCAATTCAACCCACTAGGCACTCCTTGGAAACGTATACAGGGTGGTTAGGAGTTACACTGACTCAGTGACACTTAACAACCAAATCAGGATATTAAACCTTGAAGCCATAAAAAATGGTTCTAATAAAAGCAGTAAGCTTAACACATTTTTAAACAGTCAATAAACTTTGAGAAAAGAAAGGGAAATTATCCTATTTGAAAATTATATGATTGTATTCTACCAAAAACTTAATACTGTTAGGATTGACAAGCAAATATATTAATTGTATTCACTAGAAGTTTTCAAAGATCAATAACTTATTTTAAATACTAGTAATAATGGACTCCTGGTGTGGTGCTGTAGGATCAGCACTGGACTGCGAACCAAAAAGTAGACAGTTCAAATCCACTAGCTGTTCCTCGAAAACTATACAGGGTCTCTATGAGTTGGAACAAGGAGCTCTGGTAGTGTAGTGGTTACGAATCGGGCTGCGAACCTTAAGGTCAGCGGTTCGAAACTACCAGCCGCTCCGCGGGAGAAAGATGAGGCTTTCTACTCCCGTAAAGATTTACACCCTCGGAAACCCTGTACAGGGTCGCTATGGGTCGGAACCGACTCAACGGCACTTAAACAACAACAATAATGGTGTAAAGTGTCAGAGGTGAGCCCATTTATGATGGTTAGAAAGCCACAGAACACCAGAAATAAAGTCAATAAAACGATTGAGAACATTTATGAAGAAAATCTTGAAAGCCTTGAATAAATGGAGTAGCAGGCTGTATGTATCGTTAGATCAGTCTTCCCTAAATACTTGGATACCATTAATGGAATTCAAACTGAATCCCAGTGTACTTTAAAAAAGATGTTTCTGGACACCATGATTTTGAAGTTGGTAAAGAAGAATAAATATTCTAGGAATTGACAGGAGTACTTTATAAAACAATGGGGGAGGGGAAACTTGCCCTGTAGGTGTTACAATACATAATAGTAGTGTAACAATAGAGCTCAGACTATACAGATTCGCATGCATATGAAAATTTCATTTTTGGAAAGGTTGCAGTTTGGTATTTTATAGGAAAAATGAGAATGCACTTAATAGTATTACATACTATACATGTTGTTGTGAAGTGATGTCGAATGGGTTCTGACCCATAGTGACCCTGTATAGGCTTTCCGAGGAGCAGAGCTGGTGAACTTGAACCACCACCTTGCGGTACATATAAAACACCAAAAACAGTACATATATATGGAGTCCTGGTGTAGCGCTCTAGGATAAACACTGGACCACAAGGTTGGTTTGAATCACAAGGTTGCTGGTTCAAACTCCCCAGCTGCTCCTTAGAAACCCTGTACAGGGTATTTATGAGTCAGTACGGACTCAACAGCACTTATCAACAACAACATACATATGTATGTAAATAAACTAAGATACCAATTTCATCTAGAGAATTAAATTATAAATCTAAATGTAAAAAATACATGATTTAGTAGACTATTGGTATAACCTTCACATTTTCTTCAATGAACGGAAACTTGAAACAATAATAAAAAACTGACAGGCTTATCTATCTAAAAGGATCAACATTTTCTATCTGGCAAATACATTTAATAAAGGTTATTAATCCCAATATAAAGGTTATTGATCCCAATATAAGGGTTATTGATCCCAATATAAAGGTTATTAATCCCAATATAAGGGTTATTAATCCCAATATAAA